AAGAGACACAGAAACAGCCCGCTAGCTATCAAACGAATAAAGGAGACAATCCGATGCAGCACCCGATACAGCAAATACCGCAAAATAATCATCAACAAAATAACGCTCAGAGCGGTCTGCAGCGGGACAATATGCCGAGAGGAAAGGATTCGAAACCAAGAGGACGGATGACAGTGTACGCGTTCTTCGTCCAGACATGTCACCAGGAGCATAAAAGCTTGCATCCCGAGGAGAAGATCGTCTTCCGGGAATTCTCCAAAAAGTGTGCAATGAGGTGGAAGACTATGTCGGACATCGAGAAGAAGCGTTTCCACGAAATGGCAAAGAAGGACAAGAAGAGATACGACACGGAAATGCAGAACTATACGCCGCCTAAGGGCAAGAAACGCAAACACATCAAGGATCACAATGCTCCCAAGAGATCGCTGTCTGCTTTCTTCTGGTTCTGCAACGATGAACGCGGTAAAGTCAAAATGCTGAATCCTGAATATTACATAGGTGATATAGCTAAGGAATTAGGCAAGAAATGGTCGGCTGCAGATCCCGAAACCAAATCCAAATACGAGGCTATGGCAGAGAAGGACAAGGCTCGATACGTAAGGGAAATGACCGCGTACAAAAAGAAAATACAAAACGACGGCGCCCCAGTGGTGAGAGCCGCGCAGGCGAAACAAACTATAATAAAAAGCGACAGCAAAGATGAAGAGGGCGAAGGTGAAGAGAAATTCGAGGGCGACAGCGAAGATGAAGAGAGCGAAGGCGAAGAGGAATAGGAGGACGACGACGAATAGCGAATGTATGTCGAAATTTCTTCATCTATCACCCCGTGTCCTTCATCCTGAAAGCATACCTCACCTACTGTACGTAACATTGACCTTAGCGTGAGCGTACTTACACCACTATCACTAAGAAAACGAAGCAACTAACCATCAAGCAACCTACCAATCAACCAAGCTCTTCAATAATCCCCCACCAACCACCAACCAACCTAATTCTTTCCCCGATTATTTACGATAATGATAAAGAATCTCGTAAAAAAAATAGAGGAAAAGGAGAAGGAGGAGAGACAGATAAAGATAAACGAGTCAAGATACAATAATAACCATAGTGTAAGTAGACAGGTGTAGCATTGCGCATAATGGCGGCAGCTTTGGCGGTTAAACCAATCAGGAGGCGACCCATTTTGTAGGCGGTGAAGTTTGCTTATAAGAAATAAAAATGTGTGAATCAAATGTGTAAATTACAATGTATATAATAAGAAATAAAAATGTGTGAATCAAATGTATAAATTACAATGTATATAATATACATATACATCTATTCCAACTTGATAAACTGCGCGCCGATTATTATTTGTAGGACTTGAAACACAGCTATTGTTGGAACATTGGCCTAGTTTACACCGATCTCTTGATACGCGTATCAAATAGTATATTTGAACTGATCAGCCAATAATCAGACTTATTTACTAGTTATTTACTATTTAATACGCGTATCAAGTGATCGGTGTAAACTAGGCCATTAATACCTTTCCCTCCTCGGAATTAAATCGACGATTTATATTACGTATTGTGCACAGGGGGTCTATTAGACCCCAGTCACTTTTAAACGTTTATTACAGACGCACAATTCGTTATTTTGACTCAAACAAAATTGCTGGCTATATATTGTTCAAAGCTTCCAAAATAAGGTCTAATAGGTTTCATTAATATTTTGCAACATAAAAGAATTATAAATAATATGTTAATTTAAAAAACCGAAAAATGGACTTTTCACTTAAAAATGCATAAAAAATTCAATTTTTAATATTTTTTAATAATTTTTGCGGGATTACTTTCTTGAAATACTACACTTTCAAGGAAAAATATTAGTTTATAGCGGAGTTGAAAAAAGTATATTTATATTGCTATGAAATCACGCGTTTTTCAACTTCTCACCACTGCCAAGAGCTGACTAAAGCCGGGCGGGCAAAACTATGTATAGGATCTTGAAGAGTTATCCCTAAACTACAGGTAGATGGCAGCACAGGTCCCGATCCGCATTGTATACGTATTAGAAAAACGCGTTTGAAAATACGCTGGGGTCTAAAAGACCCAATGTGCACAACAAAGGTTAATAAAACATGTATTTAATGTAAAAAAAATTTTTTAATGTTAACAAACGTTTATTTAATATTAAAAACACATTTTTTTAATGTTAAAAAACGTTTTTTTACAATGTTAAAATAAATACTTTTTTAATAAGAAAAAAAAGGATCTATCCCATTAATTATATTTGCTACTTACTACGTATGTTGTATTAAATTCGCAAAAGTTAAACACAATATTTCCCGCACAACAGACGCACGCGACGGGAATGCTTCACCTGTCTACTTACACCATGATAGTAACTATAAAGAGATTTTAACAGAGGAGTTACCAAAGTATTTACTAGGAAAGAAGAAGAAAAAGGATAGAATGTTGATAGCCAGATACAGATGCGGGAGTGAGGTGAAAGGCAGTGAACATTGGAAAGAGAAAGAGGATAGAAGATGCAAAATATGCCAAAAAGAAGAGGAGAACATAGAACATATACTAAAGGAATGTGAAGCGACAAAAAACGAGATACAGTTAAAAGAATTTTTAGGAAAGGAAGGAAAAGGACTAGAAGTAATGAAATGGATAGAAAAGGTTAGAAAAGAGGCGGAGAAAAGGGAGGGGTTGGAGGGAGAAGAGTAAGAAGGGAAATTGAAGGACAGTTAGAATATTAAAGAAAGGGAGGGTGAGTACTAACATGTGAGGTCGCTCAAAGGCCAGGGGGCCTATTACGTATCTTTTCACGAGGTAAAAATGCAAAAAGTGAACAGATTTACTAGATTTCGATCAATGAAATCGTAGATTAATGAATTCTTTCACTTTTCGCATTTTCACCTCGTGAAAAGTTATATACGTAATAGACCCCGAGGATTTGAAGAGGAATATGAGATTTGTAAAGGTTTGGGTACGTTCCTGAAAAACGCCTCGTAAAGCCGCGAGGCACACAATAAGAAATATATTATAATTAAATCGCGCAGCCAAAATCATTCAAGATCTTTCGATAAACGCAGATTTAAAATTAATTGAACCGTTATACGATTTTTAATTACAATAAGGCATATTCACAAATGCTTCTCGACTATACAAGCAGAATACAATGACGAAATGTATAATTTAGAATCATCCCTCATCGTTATAAAGCGACAAGCTGGACTCCGTGTTCTCGGACGACGATTTGTGATCGAAGACGAAAAGACCCTTCGGCTGATACTGCTCCACAGCTTCCAGAAGGCTGTCCGGATAACCGGGCGAATAATATCTGAAACAATGTAGTGATATCCGTGACGTAAAAATTTAGGAGATAAAAAATTTGTCTTAACTACATCTGCCTTCAAAAGAAATACTTGGACTTTGATGTCGACAGAGGAGAAGAAAAGAAAAAGAAGAAGAAAAGAATTAAAATGCAGAGTACAATTGTAAGAGCAGAAATGCTATCTTTTGATGTATTAAGATTGAATCTATAATAGATTGAGACTATATAAATTAGAGATTAGAGTTACATCAATTCAGAGAAGAAATGGATTAAAATTTTAAATTTATCTGAACTGATCGAATTCCAATCTTCCAATTTTTGTATTTCGATTGCGTGTTGAAATGAATGGAAATAGAGGGAGATTATATTCGTTTCAAGTATGTTTTAGTTTTATTTGCCCTTTTTCTCTCGGGCCCACATTGAACCGAACAGACACAAGAACATTATCATTCTCTTTGCGCCGATCGATACGTAAAACAGATTATCAACAGAAAAACAAGAAAAAAATAAAAGATTACAAGCGAATGAAAACAAGCTAGGCTCATACGATGGTTATCCGAAAAAAAGAACAGTACAGCAAAATCAGAGGCTAACATGTGAGCAATAAATGATGATGTTACCGTTAAATTATTATAGCAATTTATTGTCTAACGGTAAAAAAAAACGTGGTGCACGTTATTTGGACTGTGCTAATTAAAATAATTCAAAGAGAATTAAACAATGAGAATTTATAAAAAGTAAAAGAGGAAAAGGAAGAAATTATTAATTCAGATCTTATTGCGCGCGGAAATAATAACTGGGACGATTTATTGATCCTGCGCGCGCGCGCACGCGGGTCTCGCCACGAAGCGCCACGCGACGATGTACGCACTACTCCGAGTTGGCGTTTGGCGATCAGCTGTGACAACATGGCGGGCGTGCTGTTTATCGCACGGTCGATTTAAATTAAGACACCGGGGATCCAGAAACGGTGCCGCGGCAGTTATTTGCATACGCTGGCGGCGCGTGAACGCGATGGTGACGGTTAGCCCAGATTTCTAGCAGACGAGGCGCGAGTCTCGCCTTCGCCCACGCGCGTAAGTACCTTCGACGGGTGAAAGCCAGAAAGAGATAAGGTTATACGCGAGCAACTAGTGTTTGTAGTAATTAATTCATTCTGTTAGCGTATCGCGAATCGTCTGTCGCTCCTCTCCCAAAGAAATTAGGCCTCCGTCCTGATCCCGCGTACGTAACGGCCACTTTGCGACAGGAATCAATGTATCTCGCGTAGGAAATTAATTATGAATTAATGACCTGACTAGATGGCCTTCCGTGAAAGGGACAAGACACTGAAGTTCTTGAATGAGCAGTTGTCGAAGAGATATTTTGCGTACGCGCGACGTAGAGAAAGCAGAGACTCGTGACAGAGGAGGAATCAAAGATAATTGCAACTTTGAGAGACAGAAGTGACACACGGTGAGGGGACACGTTTGGTAAAATTGTTTTGCAAAGGATATCCTTCTGACTTTACGTTAAACTACGAGGGTGAAAGGGGTAGAAAAAGGAGAGTAACCTGACGATCTCCTCCGGGAAGCAGCAATTGATTATTGTTATGTATTCCGAGAGGGTGGTGCCCGGCTCAGCTTGAATCTCTTGTACCTTTTTCAAGCCGCCGGATGTGACGAACAGCCTCCTCGCCCTCGCATCGTGCGGCAAGATCTGTGCGCGAAGAAACACGACATTACATACCGTACATATACCGGAAACAATTCGATTATTACACATAAGAGAATTGCCCCTCCCCCCCCCCCCCACTGTCCGCGTTTCCTCTGCAACGAACAAGGTCAACGTTCACGTGAAATAATCGGTTAATATTTGTCGACGTAACGGGCAGAGGCACCGTGCCGCGCGGAAACACGCTGTCGTGTATACAGAATCAGAAATACGACGTAGGAAACGTTAGAGGATCGCGTATGTTGCAACGCGCCTAAGAATAAGGCTTCTGAAACCTGACCTGCATCACTATCTGAGAGCGCATTCTCCAGGCTCTTCTCATGCTTCCTTATTCTGTGCTTCCGGTAAACTGATACAAGTCAAGGGAAAGCCGAGGATACTTAAGTTAATCGTTATCTGGAATATATGGATATTTCGAATAACCATTTAACTTAAGTGCGCGTGCATATTTGTACATGTGTTGCAAATCAGATCGTGTACACTGTTAAAGGACGAAATTAATCGTTCTATTTGTCTGTTTAAATTTGTCATTTAAAATTGAATGCGCGCTTCTTGGAAAGCGTGGCCCCGGTGTTAAAACAAGATAAATCTTGTTAGAACCACACCGTTCTTCCTGTAACGAGTTCTCAGCTTAAACTGAGAAGATATAGCACTTGGGTAATGCTGTGCAAAATATAAAGAGAAATGTTTCAAGCAAATGCTGTCACATTGAACAAAATTGATCCCAAAAAAACGTCGAGATTTACGTACCAATAGATTTAAGTGCTAAGTTTTAATTTCTCGCTTTTTCAGTCTACTCGACTCCTCACTGCATATTTGTTCTCGTAAACATGTGTCAAACGTCGCGTTACTCATCGTGTTTGTGATCCTAATTCTGACTCATCAGTTAAAGCAATGTTTGCTTCGCATGCAATCGAATGTTCGCCTATTAAATCTAACTATCTTTGACGTCATCAATAATCGAGATGACAGCAATACATCGGGATGATTGTTTGTACATGTAACAGCCTGTTGAGAGAATCAATAATCTTCCCATTAAACTTCTCTTACAATTCTGAATCGTACTATCGGGATTAGAAAATTGTTTATTAAGGAAAAGAGAGAGAGAAAAAGGAAAGGGGAGAAAAGTGTGCGTATGTGTGTTTTAAATTGAACTAAATTAATTAAAAATTGAAAGCGGATAAAAAAATGATTTCTTTTGTTAATTTCAAATGGTCTCGCTGTCATAGAAATTTATAATACAATTAATAAACTGTCGAAAATTATGATATTATATTCATTGTACTTTTTCTGTTGAACAAACATGATAAGAAGCAATCGAATTCTCATTTTTAATATCGCTAGATATGAATTTTCATTATCGACTCTTATCTTGTTAACTTATTATCTTATTAAACTTTATATATCTATATATATTACGTATACACTCTGTGTACAGAGTACCCACGTACCATTTCGTATTTAATTTTTAATCAAGATGCTTATTGTTAGAGTCAACAGAGTGATATGTTCAATTTCCTGATTCTTTCTACAAGTTTCTAAATTATGACCGTAACAATATTTCAAGTTACGTAACGAAAAATATATCATTCTTTTTCCGAAAAATGCTTTGCATTAACAATAAGTTAATATCGTAAGATAAGAGATAAATAGGTGTACACCTTATTATATTGTTGATATAATTAGCATCGTTTAAAATTGATTTACGCCCTAATTCCTCGATAGTTCACATGACACCACGGAAATAACACTAAATTCGCTTACATAAAAGTCGTATAATTTTCATAACCAATGCATTAAATTTTGCAATCGTCATTATTTAATTTTACGCATTTTGCATTGAAATCGAATGGCCTTATTCTTGGAGGCAAAAGGAGAGATAAAATTGGAAAAATAAAAAATAAAAAGGGGGAAGGAATAAAAATTCGGCAGTGGTGTTTCCTTAATTCCGCGTCGCTGCGTAGCTTTATTGACCGGTTCTCCATCGTTGACATCGAATTTCATCAACAACACACTATCGTTATTAATAGCATCAATTTTGACGCAGTATTTATCGTAGAGCACTCTGCGTAGTTTTGAACATAAGAATAATTTATGTCCCTACACATACAGAGTGTTAGAAAAAAAGTGTTTAAAGACTAAGGATATATAGTATTCAAAGAAGAGTATATATTGAACCCAAATAAGTTTAGAAAAATTAAGCACGATTAATAAAGTCTGATCTCGCTAGAAACGTTTTCCCATTTTGAATTTCCGCATAAATTCATATAAATCTTTTTAAATTGATTTTTGCATACATTTTGTGTGTAAAGGTATTAAGGTGAGATTATCGAAAAGTGAATACTCCATAATGTATTACTTATCCGAGATATTTTATTCCGAAACATCGGAAACGCCTTGCGAGGAATATTCATTTTTCGACGATTATATTTTAATATTTTTATGAGGAACGAGGACATATATGTGTAGGACTCGATTTACGTAAAAAGAAAGTTATGTACAAAAATTCGAGTAAGTTACCTGTGTTACTAAAACCGAAAATCATTTCCATCTTCGACGCAGTTACTTAATTTTTCTATGTTAATTAATCTTTTATTTTTATTTTGCGATTATTTTTATACTGTACATGCTTTGATTTTTTTTTTTTTTTTTTCTTTTAGTATCCTAGTACGTAAACACGTGCCGCGTCTCGATTTTTCAGATATATTTTATGGCACATTCGCTCGCGTTCTCTGCGTGTTATTTGTTTAAATTTACATCGCTCGCTCTCGTCTGTTTACAGTTTGTCGCTCGACGTTGGACCGTGAGTGGAGCTGCGCCACTGATGTATAATAGAAGACATTGCGACACGTGCGTTTTCAGCCACGTTGCATCATACCCGATGACAAAGTATCAAAACCGCTCACTCGTCGATCTTACCCTCATTGCAGTTCAAGAGGGACTACCGGACCAACCCGGAAGTTCCGTGAAAACGGCTTGACGAACAATTTATTCGTGTGCTTAATTTTACGCCGTATTCAGAGCTAAGTTTGGAAGCCAAAACGTCCCCTCAAGCGCGAATGCGTTCGAACTGGAGAGATGTGCGTTTGAAAAAGATTAGAAACTGCGCTTTTGCGTGTGCGAACGTTCCGTCGTAGAAAGGGGAAAGTTATACGGAGCTACACGAGACTGATACACAATTTAACCGTGGACAATTCGACGATTGAAGATTAAAGAGTTAGGTTTAGTTGACGAAAAACGTACTGATTTTTGCCGTAAATAGCGTCGTTTCAAGTATTCGCGTGTAATCGCGAACGCTCGGTACATAAAGCGCCGACAACGAGACGAGATATAGCTGCCTTAAATTTTCAAGATAAGCGACAGTTTGAATGACGTAAAAAAACAGGGACGCTTTATCACTATACTCCTACAAGTTGCACATTACGTATTTGCACATATAGCGTATCTATAAAATCTCTTCTGCGAAGTCTCCTAATCAGTTTTTCCGAGATCACACGACAGAGACCTAAAAACCTGCGCTAAAAAACGAGAAGTTGCGGTTTGAAAAATTTTTTCAAGTATCCGAGCATCTAGGTTTTTACATTTGTGACACAATTGCGAGGTATATTCGTGCGAACAGTTACGTTAAAAGGAGGAACGGCTCGGGCGGGTGCGTAATAAAATAATAAGAGACAAGGTCGAGGAGTTGTCGCGATCAGAATGATAAATAATCAGCATTGTGTGATCCTTAACACGGGCGAGGCCAACAATTATCATCAACCGGTCTCGGCCAAGCCCTCGGTTGTCTCGGTATCGAGCATCGACTCTGATGTCAGCGACAGAAGGGACGTACGCGAAGAACTGTACGCCGGGATCTTTAGGAGGCACAGAAAAACTATACTGGTATTAGGCAGTTTTCTCAAGATGTTAAGGGTGAATAGAAACATGAACAATTACGCTAGCATTAAACCCAATGACGAAACAGATGAGTAAGCTAAGTCGTTGCCGGATCAGTTGAGTGACCGAGAACTTGCGTTTAACAGCGTTTTCTGCTGGGAAAACTAATGCAACACTAGTGCACACTGAGTGCAATTTTATTGTTTAATGATCTACTGTGTTTAATTTGACAAATTTTTATCAGTAGAACATTAAATACTGAAAATATGTGAACTGATTTTTCACATTGGAACAATAAAATTGCACTTAGTGTGCACCAGTGTTGCACTAGTTTTCCCAGAAAACGCTATTAAAGTGCAATTTGAGTATAAAGATAGGACTTTATCGATACGTTTCTTTATTTTTTTTATATATTATATATAACAAATACGGCCAAATATTTTTTTAAACGTAACTCGTTGAGCACTTGAAACGTAAAAAAAACTTGTGTAAATAAGTAAATTTGTATAGAAATTTTGTAAGATATCAAATAAGTGGTAATCTTGGTTCTAAATTACTCTAAATTACGATATCAATTCTGTATAATATTGCTGCAAATATTTGCTCTCAATTATTTTATAGATAATTCAAGAGTTACGCTAGATTAAATCCAGTTTTAATATTTAAAATCTCCGGTTTTATATTTTTACATCGATTGTTTTTAATTTATTTTTCTGACTCTCCTTTTACGAATTATTTCTAGAAAAACTTTTTTTTTCTAAATCACTGATTAAATAACAAGATCAATGAAAGAAAACTGCCAATTGAAAGATTTACATAAATAGGGAAAAAATTCTTATATAAATATATACATAAAAACATTTTAATTGTTGTAAAAATGCAGAAAAAGGTTGAGCAAAAGCAATGTACTCTGTAATCATAGATCAATCCTGCCTATCAAAAAATCAATTGATATATCTTTTGACGTGTTTCTTTAAATTCTCGTCATTGGTTTTAATATTATTCCATGACAGCTAAAAATGCAATACATAAAGTTTCGGTATATTTTAAAATTTACGTGAATTTTCAACACATTCATTGGTCATTCAACATTCATAAGAAAAAGTTCGATGTCGAATAATTTTCTGTTTTGTTTTTGCAGAAATATTTGGACAGGTTGCATGATCTGAGCCGGATATACGCCTTAATTGCTTTAAGATTTGAAACGCACCAAAAGTTTTGGTAAACTCGCTATATTTTTTCTGCATTTCGTCGTGCATTATGCAACTGCATTTTAAAATTTTCTCGTCTTAAATACGCGTCGTCTCACATGTCCCACATTAAAATGTGACGTTTGTGTTTTATGGACGTTTAAAACTCTAATGTTCTTCACGCTTTCACAATGTACTGAGAGAGAATTCTTTTGTAGAATTTAAGAAAAATTTCTGTTGAAAAGATAAGAACCGCTAATGTTGCCGATACAATCCGAAATGACCCATTAAATCGGCCAGCACCTTAATGTATACTGAAATTACTGTGTTATTGTTGACGAGCTTAATATTTATTAGAGATACATAACTGAGGGCATATGTAACAGTATAAGACTTGTATAATACATATGAACTAATACGAATATCAAATCAATGCCTTATCACTTGAAACTTTAACGTATTTTCTAATTTCATCGGTTGATCATCGATTGATCATCAACATTTGTTTACTTGATTGCTCTTCATTGTCCTATATCCGAACATTTTTGTACAATTCGTGTCTTTGTATCAGATACTGCCATTAGAGAATAAAACGATAAGGTAGACGCGAATTAGTGAGAGCAACTTGGAAAACAATCATGCGTTCAATTTCCTAAGGCATACCTAAACAACAATTTTTAAATGAGTTTCTATTCAATAAGTCATACATCTCTCTGTACTTAGCCGAACCACTCGCTGTCGTAAGACTGAAACATGTGCTCTTTTGGAACATTAAACGTGCCATACTACCTTAGAAAAAAAAACGTTTGAAAGCGCGAGAGAGAGAGAGAGAGAGAGAGAAGAAGGATGAGAGGAAGGAAAAGGAAAACAACTTATGTATTTCTGAGCATACATGATACGGAGCATATCTATATGTAATGGCAACGCAATCGCAATTATATTCTGTACCTAAGTGCAATCTAATCGAAAACTTGTTTTGCTTTCGAAATAAACAATCGAAAGTAAGTTGGCTGCGGATATCAATCAGAGGATCTGTAGGAATATAAGTTATTCGAGCAATTGCAATTAAGTATGCGTAAGTGTATGCGTGCGTGTATGTGTGTCTGTGGAAATTCTTATATATACGTATGATAATAGCGTTAGAAATAATTCTCTTCGGAACTACCAAGATATACTTGAAATCTATATCTTATGGAGGGGTATAATAGTTTCCACGAACCGAAAAGAAAAGGAAACATTTCGCGTCCCTTATGCGCAGCTGCTTCTGACCAATTTTTAAGTAGAGCAAAAATTTGTAGGTATGTTAGTAGCTTCGTCGTATATTCGTTTGCATATATTTAAATATTGTGCAACGTAAACATCCACGTAATCACGAAACGCGCGATCTTCATTGAGCGACGACGAGAGGCAGCGCGAGCTATATTTTGCATTCGATTGTTAAGATCCTATGTGACTTTTGTAACGAGCAACTATGTCCTAAATGCGTTGTTGTATTGGATGAGAAAGAAAATTTGTATTATCACTTTGTATAACGTATCATTAGAACGTATGTGAGACACACTTAATAAAGCATTCATATTATGTTTAATAAATTCTCGGATACTGTTAATTCTCTTCGCCACGTTATTACGATCGTGAGATGTTCAGTCGTCTCGATTGGATTGTAAAATCTTACCTTGCTAAATTGTCCCAATACATATTTCAGGATATTAGGCGGCACGTCGTGCAACAGGGATTCAAGTGCCTCGACGTACATGCATTTTTGTAGAATCTGCTTTAACGCCGTGTTACATTTCACCTTCAGATCCTCGGAACTTTTCGGATCGTTATGCAACTAACGAAATTTGTAATGCGTGAGATCGGAAATGTTAGCAAATTCCGACGGAAAGAATAACCGATTCGATAACTAAATACCTCCAATAGCTTGGACAATATGTTCGCAACCGCAATCGCTTTTGCATGTTCGGGCGTGTGCTTGCCAATTTGCCCGATAGCCCAGACGGTCACCGCGAGAATATGATCTTCCGTTTCCTCTTGCAGCACGACCGCTAATTGCACGACACCCTGATGCGAAATAATTACTCTAGCGTGTTGTACAAAGTGCGAAAAAATTGCCTCTTTACTTCCACTTGATTCGTACTTTGGATCCTATCACGGCCACGGCCAGCTGATCGGAATGACCGGCGATGTAACCGAGTGCCATGATCGCCGGTAATCTGGTCGCCGACTTTGAGGTGTTAATTAATTCGATAAGCGCAGCGATGCCGCCGGAGTTCACCACAAGTTGCGCCAACTGAAAAGTTGCAGATTTAGCGAGAAGAATCTCCGCTGAGAAGTCGTTGCGCCTTCCGTTTACCTCAAACGTGTGTTTGCAAATCTCCCTGGTTAAAATCGCCGCGACTCTACCGACATTCTCATCCGGATGTGCCATGTGTACCAAAATGTCTGGTAAGATCCCTGCCTCAACCACAGCCTCCGCCAAATCTGCGGAGTGCTTGGCTATGCTGCTCAGCGCTAATAACGCTTGACGCTGCAGACATTATAATTGTAATCCAGTGTTAATATCTCGAGATTGTTTAACATACGATTTGCGTGAAATTACCTTCGCCTTGGCATCGAGATTGGCCAGAGTTTTCGCGAGGAAGAAGATTGCCCCGGCATCCACCACTGCCTGCGCGAGTTCGATACTGTGTTTACTCATGTCGCTGATGGCCGATGCGCCGATTTGTTTAATATACAATTCGGGCTCTTGCAGACACAATACGAGAAGAGGTATCGCGCCTGACGAGGATACGATTAAACAGCAAAAAAATATTTCATCAATAAGCAAGCTTTCATCTTCATCGCCGAAAAATTAAACGAGATAATTTTACCGGTATCCACTGCCGCTTGAGCCAAGTTCTTATTATGCCTCGCGATATATCCCAGTGCCCAAGCGGCCGCTTCCTTCACTCCAGGATCGAAGTCTTCCAGGCATCTGACTATAGTCTGTAGGCCGTCGTTGTGTACGACTATTAACGCCAGTTCCGGCGAATGTTTGGCTATCGCTCGCAGGACGAACAGCGCCGCTTTCTTATAAAATTTCTGCGACAATACATTTCTCTTAATAGCTAAAGAAGTATATCTTTATAATATACACGTATAAAAGATTCATGGGATGATTGCCAACTATGTCAAAGTTTTTTTTCCGAACAAGGGGAATACGGCGCTTATTCGGATTAATTTCATTCTCTATCACGATCGAAGTGCTTACATTTAAGGAGCTCGTACATTTTGTTTGTCTATGTTCTTCATCAAGTGCGACAGTACGTCTTTTCTAACGACGGCGTGCGCCAGTCTGGGATTGTGATTCGCCAGCTTGCCGAGAGCGATCGCGGCCACGTGTTGGATGGACGGTACGGCGTCCGCTAGCAAAGGACGCAGGAGGTCTATCGCACCAGCCGCTTCCAGGCAGTCGATGTTGTTCGACTTTGAGGCCAGATCCGCGACAGACTGCACGAACAGCAACCGCGCTTTTTGATACTGATCGAAAACTATGTACAGAAAGAGATACAAAAATGTTATTAGTAATATACGTATATAAAAGAATATAATAATATATAATAATCTTAAAAGGCTCTAATGATTAAAAATCAAACAAAGTATGAATAATAATATATATATATATTATACTACTCCATATTATTTTAATATATTATACATATTAATTATGCTTTATATTATTCTAATAATATACAGTATATAATATATAAATATGTATTAATATACGTTTGCTATATAATCGAAAACTATTAGTTACAGAAAAAAATAAAAAAAACATGTTATTAGTAATATAGAGCAATATACAATATATTGTATTATTTATATTATTCTAGTCTAGTAATATACAGTATAACATATAAATATATATTAATATGCATTTAGTATAATTTTTCACACACCCAGGGATGTCAATATATCCTCATTGGCATTTGATTAAATATAACAGAAGAATAATAGGCGTACCTTGTAAGATTGAGCGTGCCGTCATATTAATTTACTAAAAGGATATACAGACGCTGCATCTAAACATCAGTTCATCATTGCCATCCAACGTACGATTCTGTCGCGGAACGACTCTTGACAGCTCTCGGTCTCGGCGAGGTCGTCATCTGTTTAAAAAACGAAAAACTGCCGCTTTTAGGATCGTGGATCGTGGCAAACGGAAAAGCGCAAACAAGTGGGTTTAAAGGGGACGGTACGCTTGAAAGTTATTAAAATATCAACCTTTTCGTTTTCTTTTGGAAAAAGTAAATTGTTCCTCCCACATGTTGGACTATACAGAATAATTTTTTACGTATCTAGATGCCTGAAGAGATGAGATCTCGAAGATACAAGGCCTCTCTCCGCCTCTCGCGGTCCGAACAGCTCGAAGTTCGAATCTCCGATCCACCGATCGCGCGCGGCATCGCGCAGGTACATACAAATAATAACCTCCGTTTCAAGCGTATCGATTGGCCCCAAGCTAGAGAGAACTTCCAGAGACTCGAGAACTTCTCTATCCCGCGGCCAATCGACACGGCCAAATGAAATATCGGCCTACAACCTACAACAGTAGTCAGCTGACATGGGACGTGTCGACGACGGCGACGACGCTGTCAAGTCTCTCTTCACGATTTCTTCCTTGCGGGTCCCTGAAGCGCGTTATTACGCCCGGCACGCGTAACCGGCGTAATTACGAATGAGGTGAGAGGGAGAGCGACGATAAAGATGATGACCGACGTCGGGGAAGCCGGAGCGGCGGAGATTCAATTGAAACCCGAGGGACAATTGAGGTAACCTCTTTGCGTACTCGGTTAGATCGGTCCTTTTATCTGTATGGCACGTAATTAAATTTTTAAGGCACTTGGGGAGCGAGTCCTTCACGTCAAAATATGAGAGAGAGAGAGAGAGTTCGTGTTGATATATTTCAACGCGTAATAATTTTCGAGATACAGTCGTACAAAGTACTCGCTCCCTGAAATCTGTCCTAAGAATGCTGTTATGTATGTACATACATACTTTGTATGTTCTAAACAGTTTAATATTTATCTGATTTTTTAATGATATACATTATTTATCGATAAACAGCTTATTTTAGTCTTAAAAACGATCTGTTATGAATAGAAATAACAAAAAATAAATTATATACATTAATTAGAAAACAAGTATGATTTCCTTTAATTTTATTCTATATTATAATACAAAGAAGATACCAGTATCTGTATAATTTTATGTTTATCGTATTTAAGACTTAAAATTACATTGTTGTCAATATATCTAAAAATCCAGTTATATGATGATAATAAATAAATATGGACAATAGAGATTTCAGATTTGTAATATAAATATAATATATTAAAATTGTATAATGCAAAATATGAAAATATATGAGTTAAGAGTATTATTCATTCTTAATTAGTGAGGATACAGTGGATTTCTCAGAAGCTGTAGAAAAATTGGCAGAAGGTCTCTTGAGTATTTATCAACCTCCGCTGGAGCAAGTTAAGCAGGAACTTTTCGAGCTGACGTAAGCATATAAAATAAATCAGCGACACAAATGATAAAATTTTATTTTGATCGTTTGTGTTATATATAATTTTTCTTACAGAAGCAAACAGGAGGCCCTGCTCGCTCGAATGCAGCTTGAAAATAAAAAGATACACGAGACATTCGAAGACATAGATTTAAATGATATGGTAAGACTCTTCCCTTCTTTTGCGATACAGATTGTGGTTTCATCCGCCATGTGCTTGAAATATTAATATCTCCATCTCGCGACAGAGAGAAAAATTACATAAAAAATATGTTTTAGTTTTCAACTGTTAAAATTTATCAAGGAAAATTAGCAGTGGTAAGGAAAGAAATGATTAATATTCACGAAAGGACTTCTAAACTAAAGGTGAATTATTATAAAACTGATTCCTAAGGTTTGCGTACACTAATGTAGGTATTTTCACCAATATAAAAAGACTTGTTACAGAAACGCGTGTTGCGTTTGCAACAGATTAAACAAAAGGAAGCGATGAATAGAGAGCAACAACGTGAACAAGAGTTGCGCAGGGAACAAGAATTAATTGGCAGATCTACGAGCAATTAAGCATGTATAAATTTCAATAAGCGATAAATTGATATAAATTATATATATATATTCATAAGTGAAGTATATAAAAAGATTTACGTATAAGAGAAATATATAAGGATTCTACGTATTCACGCTGTTATTTATAATAAAATTGTATGTAGAAATTATCAGATCACTTTTTTGATCAGCCTTAATGAATATTTTCCTGTTAAAGAAGTGAAAAATTTTCAAATCAAATAAAGCAAACTTTCTAAGCAAATTAATTTGTTATTATAAATGTATTATATTGCTTAAATCTTGATTTAATATTTTAAATGTTGACGGTTATAATACTACAGTTTTCTATTTTAAAAATGACACAAATGTTTATTATTGATTTACACGTCACATTTTATAACCGAGTAAATTAAAAAATATGCATAAACAAATTTCGCTGGTCAAATTGAATTTTTTTCTAATTTAGTTATTATAAGTCAAAATCAAATTTTAAATAATAATAAAGATGTTTAAATGTTATTAGAAACGGCAAAAGGTCCATGTAAACAATGAGTGCGTTCAGCCGATACTCCGCTAGCCTAGCAATCGTGAGCAGTCGCTCGTTTTCGCTCGTTTCCTCTCCTTTGACCCAATGGATTAAAGGGAGAGGAAACGAGCGACTGCTCACGATTGCTAGGCTAGCGGAGTATCGGCTGAACGCACTCAATAAAAGTATCAGTTGAAACCAACTTGGAAAGAGCATTTATATAAAACGCAATGAAACACGAGGGAAAATAATATCTTAAATTTTATTTTATTTTTCAAAATAATCTTTTGTACAATCTTCAATATTCGCAATATATATCGACGTATATGTCGAACGATGTCAAATCCATTACTTGTAGGCTTGGCTTGAAATAGACGAAGGAAAAGAGGATAAATAAAGAGATATTGCAAGAAAGTGAGATTGTAATACCAAAAATAGCATCGAAACCTTTAAAGCGGTCTCCTAGATTGTTTTTCGACCTTTATGTATTTTTTTCTTGGCAAAAACCGAATTCGTTTTTACAATCTTTCTAATTCCTCTAGAGATGGATGGGCCATAATTTAATCGTTCGATTATTATAAAAAAGAATTATAATTCAATCAAAAGTTAATCAAAATTACAAAAAAGACTGATTTTTTCAAATTACGGTCAAAATTTAGAAAAAACTTATTTAACAAAAAAGTATCGATCAAGATTTATAGCCAGTCATATAAGAAAAACAATAAAAAATAAGAATAATTCGAATACGTTGACCAGCAATGAAAAAGACTTCGCAACTGTACTTCCCTCTTAAGTCTATTGCAAAATCAATTAGTCCGCTTACTGAGATCCAGTAATCTGAGGTATTCTTGGATTAGACGGCGTATTAAATACACAGTACGTCTTGCTATTTACTGCGCGAGACACGATATGTCTCTTGACAATTCATACTAGTCTGTTAACATGAACTGACATAAAATATGTTCACTATAGTCGCATGATACACTGAACGAAATTTCGTATTATTATTTCGAGGTAGTAAAAATTAGACTTGTGTTCGGTGTAAAATGCGACTGATGATTATATTATTCCAAATTATCGTCGACAAATCGCATATAAATACAATTATGAGTAATATAAATACGATATAAGTATAATATGCAGTATAAGTACAATTGCGGACCTGCGCAAGTGAGCTCTATGTGATATTATTAGCCAACCCTGATAGCTTGCAACTCAAAACTATCGTGACCTCGACGTTTTTTTATTAGAATTCTCGAATCTATAACTCCATACGCTATTAAAATATTATCCGGTAAGACGTATGTATAAACATATGTGTGTATGGACAGAATAAAATATCTAAAAAATTTAAGAAAGATATCAGCTGCCAGGAAAATAAGAGACATTACTTATTCTTACAAACTATAATATTAAGAAAAAGTGTGAGAGAAATTATGTACTTGAGAGCACATGAATAAAATAATAAATTTGGAGTAATTATTATTATAGATGTAATTAATACAATAGAACAATAGAAACAAAACTTTGGATAAAAGTAAGCAAGTTGTGTTACAAAGCAAGTTGTGTTACTCGGCAAAAAATTTTTCATGTAAAAATATGTTCAAATATGTTTTCCCTTTGTTGTATAATCTGTCTTGTATAATCTTTTTTGTATGCGGGAAAAATAATAAGAATTAAAAAATAATTAAAAGAATAATTTTCGCATTGCCTTTTATAAAAAGTAAAGTTTGAAATGAGAAAAATATGCCCATATATACACATATGTAAATGTAATAATCGTATATAAAATATATGATTATATGTACAGAATATTGTATAATCTAATCGCTATATTTTATTTCTTGTATGCAGAAGTTAGTTTTCTAATTATGTTTCAATTATTCATTTTAAATATAAACATATTTCATACATAACAATATATATTGTATATTTTTATATGAAAAATTTTTTACCGGATATTCTTAATATTTTAAAATTAACGAGAAATGTACATGTATATATTATCCGCGATATGTTTCCAATTACGACTTTACATTTGGCCGTTTATATCGGATGTGTGGACGGATTACACCGTTTAAGTCGTATCTTTTTTCAAGGCACGCTATATCGAAAGACATTACGATCAAAGTTATCAATACACTTGAAAGTTCCAACACGTAATTCGGACCCTTTCACGCAATATTAACAATTAAAATTGTCCAGCAACATTAAAAAAGACCAGCGAACCTTACTTTCACATGTGAAGATTCTGCTGATAACCGTCGATCTCGTTGTACATTTTCCTGATGGGATCTTTTGGCAAATAGTTGTGCATCGCGGGTGCGACTTTATTGTTGCCGGGTACAATGCCGTTGGCTAAATGCGCTACACCGTTCTGCAGCATATGAGTTCCATTCGCGATACCATTTTGATAAGCATGACCGTTTTGTTGAATATGTTTCATATTGTTTAATACACCATTAGAGATGGTACCTACCCCTAGAAGACAATAAACATCGACATATATTATTAATAGATACAATAAATAGATACAACCACACAGTTCTTAATTATTGTTATCAGAAGATTGTTAGGCTTCGAAAAGTTTTTATGATTAAATTGTTTTTTTACTTGTTAACTCTAATCCTTTTTCTGATTCTTTCTGATTACAGAAGGAGAAGAAACCTAATTAATTTAGAGAAAAATAATTGGCTTTAAATTGGGAACTTAAAGTAGACAATCTAAGAATAAAAAAAGTCGATTTTATACGCCAAACAAATGCAATAATTGTTTACCTTGAGCAACAATTCCATTTTTCGTCGCATTGGCGATCTTTCCAACATGATTAGATACGCCGTTGACTGTCGGTTTGGCATTGCCATTAGGTATGGCACGTTCATTCGAGGCATGTATCCCGTTTGGGTGTCCCTTGATTACAGGCGAATCCGGATCACGTAGGCTTCCTTCTTCTCCGCGACGTGCCCCACGCATTAATTGATATAATGCAGCGGCAAAATCCTGCTGCACACTAGGCACATCCGTATCGCCGTCCACCTAAGGAATACATTATACCTTATAAAAATGGAACTATTTCATAAACGTATATTATTTCTATTATGTAATTGTACCTTTGTATTCCTACTGAGACTCTATTCTAAACAATTTCGTACTACTAATGCTAACTCAAAACTCATCTCAACATTGATCCGTATTTTGTCGCAACACGGTTATTTATTACGTACAATTATTAACCGACTATCGCTGTCCAGCGTTTTCAACATGGGAAGAGACACCTCGCGAAAGAGCTCCAATCTTTTCCTAAATGCCGAAACACTGTCGTCCAGTCTTCCTCTCCCGAGTTGCAGTTTGGAGCAATCAAGTAATACCAGCGGTGGTTCTTGTCCAAACTGTTAATAATTAATATAACGCAATTCGTCAATAATTTGTTAATGCTAAGAGATATTTATCAGATAGACAGGAAGTTACAAAATCATCGATCAAATTGGTAAGCAGAATTGCAATTTTAAGGTATAATAACACAAGCAATTGTGTGTTCTACTTACTTTACTCTGAAATTCCTGCACTTGATTCAAGTCCCTCGGATATCCGTCCATGACGATACCATCCGAGTCTCGATTCAAAATAATCTGTTGCTCTACAAGTTGTATCACGATATCATGTGGGACCATTTCGCCCGAAACAATTGCGTCATTCACAACCATATTAGACGATGCCATCGTTCTTAATAATTCTCCAATACTTATATGCATCCATCTTGGCATATTACGGACGGCTTGAGCGCAAAGAGCCGCCTTATTACTTCCTGGTCCACCTAATATACACAACATTATATTACACAAAATGTCATGCAATGTAAATAAGTTATTTCTCTTTCTTAGAAAAGAAAGCTGACAAAATAAAAAAAGAAATGGAGAAAAAAATTGAACAATTTAATAGTTTTACTTCTCATAAAATTTAACAATCAACCTCTTTACATTGTATTGAAATAAAACATACCTATGACCCAAATAAATGATGGCAATCCTTTTCTCGGTTTAGCAGCGGTTTTCGGTGTGTCTATCGGTACTGTAACTGGTAACCTATCAGTTCCCATAATTTGTTGCGGTAATGGCGAACCCGTAGTCGATTCTTTTCTCCTTTCCACTTCGACCTGAAATGCGACATGATGCAGTATAGCGATATACTATCAAACATGTGAAATTTTGATTGCAATTTCAATCTTACCTCGGCTTCTAAAGATTGAGGTATATCCTGGTCCTGAATTTCACCGCTTGACATCCCGAGAATTCTAAGGACGGCATCTCGAAAACTAACGTAGACCTCACTCGGATTACGTTCACCATTTATCTGTAAAACAAATTTTTATTTCTACTTGCAGTAAGCGTAATTTGCACGTAAAATACAAAAATACAATAATACAATTTGAATATGTATTACTTTATCATTCTCATAACATTTCTAAGTTATCCGGCTATATTATTTTCAAACTTTTTGGTGTATTAAAAAAGATATTGTTTTATATAATAATCTTCTCCCATTCGACTAACGCATGCACTTGCCGTTTTCCTTTTACCTCTTTTTAAAATGATAATTTTTTAATAGTTGTACAATTTTGTATCGAAAACAGAAAATATATTTCACAAATGATAAAAATAATTTTTTTTTTAACTTTTACACAGATCAACAAAATTTAAACTTGGCGGAGCGCATTAATAGCGAATTTGCTTACCTCAAGTAACATTCCACTTTGATCAAAATATTCCGCAACTGGCATCACATTCCTATAAAAATTATGCAATTCCATTCTAGCTAATCCGATAATAACGTGGCCGAGTTGCGCACCGAAATCAATTTGCCTCTCCAACACTTCCTGCCTCCACGACACAAGAACGACGCCGTTAACGATTTTTATCTATAAGCAATGTATTATATGCATTTAGATTATCTTATCCGAACACTGTGTACATAGCTAAGCTATATTGGGAGATGTAACTACCTTATAAAATAAATAAATATCTATATTAAAAAAGAACAGAAGTGAGACACTCACCTTTTCAGCATACTCTACTACATCGCGCATATTTCGCGGATATCCGCTTACAAGAAATACTTTGGATCCCGGAGACATTTTCATCTCAAGCATAAGTACTTCTGTGACGGTTTTACTACTAAGTTGTCCAAAATCTTGCATATCTACATCAAAAACATTTTATATACGACACGTTGCAAAAATATAGAAATTTCTTATTTACAGACGTTATTATTTAAATCAAAAGGATTGAGATATAATTTATATATTCTTAGAAACCTCACAATTCGCAACTAAATCCGACTGGTTTATATATGTCGCATGTTAAAATTTTAAGTATTTATACTTATAAAATAAAAAGCAAATATGTACCATTTCCCAGTGCATATTGTTGAAGAAGATCCATCATGTTGATATGCGTTATACCTTTCTTCTCTTGTATCAAATTGTCGCAATATGTCACCTTACCGCTACCGGGACCGCCTATGAAATGATCGTAAAGTTCAACACGTTGAATGTCGATTCTTAAAATATGATGATTTAATTCTAAATCCGCGACAATTAATTAATACTAACCGAGCACGAATATAACGGGAATTTTTGGTATTTCAAATTTAACTGGGCCAACATTTTGTTTCGGGAAATGTCCATCCGGCGGAGTCGCCAAAAGGCCAGCCTCGCCTCGCCATCTTCCTGTAGCTCGAGCATCGTTTTCCTCGAACATCTGCGATCCATTTTGCTGATCTGAAATGCATTTGCCACTTTGTAACGTATTATATCTACATGATGGATCGAAATATTCGTGCCATTCGGGGAATTCAATTTAAAGTAAAAATATTAACAAGGCCTCCTTTTACAAAATTATTATTAAAGACCATTTCATTATTCAATTTCTCGATTCTAATTTCAATTTTAAGAAAATCAGTGATAATTATAACGAATGTATGACCGCATAAATAAAGAATTCACGCGTTTGTGGATTAACTAAGGATCTTATCAAGAAATTTAATTTATTAAGCAACCAAAATAAATTTCTGCGGCTTTTCTATGTTATTATTTTAACGAAAAGCACGTAAGTACAATTGTAAGTGATGCTTATGCATCGATACGCAGTTGAACACGTGGCATACTAAACCAGTTTTAATGTAAAGAGAGCATTAAAAGTGAAAAGCAAAAGGAGAAATTGGGAAGATTCATGAAAACATATTTGCGTGAAATAGTCAATTAATTTGAACGTTTCTATTTTACAAATCTAAACTGGAAATTAAAACAGCAAGAACGATAGCCTATTGAAATAAATTCGACGGTGCATAATATCGTTTCAACCAGATTGTTTCAATTTTAAAATGCTTGAATTATTAATTTTCTAACTGAAAAAGTTTAGTCTATTAGTTTATTGAATTTTATTCTTTATGAGAAATCACCACATTCTTACTACATTTTGTTACAACACGTTGTACAATATATTTGTATCTAGCTCATCACGTTGCGTGACAAAACCGAAGACTATACGCAGAAGTCAAAGGCATAAAATATACATTGTCGCACTGATATATTATTTACTTACTACATGCAATGCATGTGTGAAATCAAGTATTTACTTCGATTTGAATCAAGTGCCAATACTTACAATCTTAAATAATTGCATAATTCAAAACTTTTTAAATTTTTGCATAATTCTGGTATTTTCTATGTGCACAAAAGATATAAAAAAGTCATCGCGTACAAACGATGATATCATGTAACTTAAGCGATGCCGTCACTTCAACATATAGTAATTTTTGTAAAGACAATCGTAGATATCTACAATGGATAACTCGAGGCTTTCCAATTCATTATGTTCAATCTGATCTTGTGCAAAATTTAAAATATAAGTACCGAATCAATACCTACTCGCTAAAAAATATAATTCTAATAGAATTTTATTGAATAAATTAATTATCTTGATCTTTTGTATCTATTAGTCTGGGAATCACAAAATAAAATTACTTTAAATTTTAATCAAGATTTTGGAGATAGGTATATCTATTTAAAAAATGTGTGAAAATGTACAAAAAAGCTATATTTTAATTAATATTATATAAACATTGTATTAATTAATTTTAAAAAGTACACAATAGTAATACATAACCATCTTATTTGACACCTTAGTAGAAAAGTAGTTATTTAAAATATTAAAATCGTATATTGAATTTTTTAAATATCAAATCGTGCTTTTAATGAAGTACTCCTTCTTTATTACAATATAAAGACAAATATAACGTTAAAGAGAATATTTGTGACATTAAAAGTTGTTTAAGTTCTAACTATTGTTTGACACTAACGGAATATTTTCTCAAAAATTATTTATATTATTTCTATAAAAAATTAGATAGATCAAAAAATATTTATTCAATCGAAAAAATTATTTATAATTAGAAATTTTTTAATTAAAATTACTTTTTATGTAAAAAAATCATTATAATTTTGATGTTAAAAATAATACCGCATTGCATGTAAATTTTAATCGATATAAAGATTTAATTAGCTGATATTTAGATTCATTTAAAAATTACAAATTAATTAAAATAATGTTGGATGTCTATGAGCCTTGTAATATATAAGAAAGCGTGCCACTATTTATTTAATAATAATAATAATATTAAATTAATATGCGTCCATTAATTTAAACGCATGTATTACGACATAAGTTTACTGTGATGATGACAAAAAAGACTTTCTATGTTACGACAATGTCACTTGTATAATATCGATCGCGATAATGCATTTGCGATAATCATAGACATCTTGTTACGCGTCCAAGTTTATTCCGTAGATATATCGTGAGAATTCGATGATTAGCATAATGGAAGAAGTGGAATTGACAGTGTTAACCGTTTTGACTTGCATAGATAAACAGTTCGTACTCGTTCAAGGCGCGAAATCAGCATAGTAAGAAAGGACAACAGAGAAATAAATGCTTTCCTTATTGCACAGTTAGTGCGGAAAAGGGAAGAGAAGAAACGGTCGTTTTTCTTGCTAATGCGTATTATTCTCTTTTTCACTTATTTTTAATGCGATTATATCATGTTCGATACTGACAATAAGCGAGAAAGCGGTAATGAGTGGAAGAATAAATAGGCATTGGTTATTAACTATAATGACAAAATTACTTGGTAAAAATTTACCTAAAACAAAACACTAAAAATGTAAAAAAATTGCCAAATATATTTACAATCTTAATAGAATTTCTTCGCAAAATCTGTTAATATTTCTTATGTGAAATTTCTGAAAACGTTAATTAACAAGAATAGTGTTTCTATGCAAAACACATATCCGAATAAAACGCAAAAAAGAAAACCAAATATGATGTCATGAAAAAAGAGTGAAATTAAAATGTTATTTCAAATATATTTAGGACAATAAGTAATATAGCGGTGAGGTGATTCTTCGCCAAGATTTAAAACAGCGAAACTTAGTACCGTAGAAACCGGAACCTATTATCAAATCAATTAAGACTAATTTACGTGGTGAACGTCTAGACTAGATAGAATAAATAAAAAAAAATCTCCTTTCAATGAGACTAGCAACCTGCTAAGAAAAAAATACTTATATCTATTCTTGGCATGGCATCAACAAGCCTCGAAATTGAACGGATTTCCAGATGACGAACCAAGCGAAAGATAGGATTATGAATAAGAAACGTGAAATAGCAAAGAAAAAGAAGAAATAGCAATAGAGGAAGAAGTGCTATAAATAGGATGTTGGAATATCAAATTGTGATGAGAGAGCTTACTCGGGACTGTTCACACATGAAAAATACGAACAGAACGTTTGTAATATCGATAATATGCGAACGACAGGATTCTTCATATCACTCTAGAAACCAGTAACCAACCATATAATAATTGTAATAAAATGTCAAACACGTGTCGGACGCTAGCAAGCTCAAAAAAGGAGAGAAACAAATTACAGAATAAATTTCAAGAAATATTAGAGAACGTCCCGACGCAATATCAAACCAGCAATGGGAGATTTCAACGCAAGGATTGAAAACGAGGTGAGATAAAGCAAAGATTTGATGGAGACATCGTAAATGATGATAGGAAAAGTTCTAATAGAAATCTGTGCACAATATTTGTTGATTTAAAATCAACAACGATTCTACGAATATAAGAAACAACGCAAAATCCTCCTTTGCCAACAGAAGACAGGGATCTGTATAGTGTATTGACGAACCGAAACATACGTCGCGTACGGACTCTGTCATCGGCAAACATTGGAAACGATCATAATCTTATCAAGAGATACGGTAATGTCTCATGCCAAGTGTACGCGCAGTGAGACATTACCGTGTATCTATACGCGAGTCGACAAGTTGTGAGATCCTTAGATTAATATCTAAAACACGAATAGGGATACAGTACAATAAACAGCAGTATTTAGAATTCATTGAGAACTGTAACATCTCGGAGAAGTGTAACTAAGGAACAAAATATCTATAGGAAACGTTTGGAAGAAAATAATTGACATTATTATTAGATAATTAACTCGATCAAGATAGATGATAACGTGGAAAAGGCCTGGCAAAAAAATCTCAAAGAATTATCCAAGAAGGACCAGAAAATAAATCCCAATCGCATTAACAACGAACCATTTGTTTTACCAAGAAATAAAGGAATTGGCAAAAAAGAATATCTAAGATATTGAAGCTATTACTGTTCTATGTTAAGCAAAAAATGTATGTTATACTATTTTATTTTATAATATTTTTCTGTCGGGGATTCCGAAAAATATGGTTGCACGATTTCTCAATTATTTAGGAATAAATTAGATATCCGAGTATTATTGGCACTAATGCTGATAACTGGCAAATATAATTGTCTCGTCTAACTCTTTAATGCAAAAATGTATGCAATAATAATAGTGTCTGAATTTGTCACATAAAAATCAGTTTAAAATAAATGTTAAAACTGATAATTGGCAACATAATAACAGACTTGTTAATTATTTGATGCAAAAAAAATTAAATGTTTAATTATTAAATGTTATTAAGTATATTTATTAGAATAAATAACATCTTGTAAACTATATTTTAGAAATATTTGCAAAATTGAATTTAAAGGACTATATTTGGGATATAGAATATTTTAGGATTATATAAAATGAAGCTCTCTCTCTATATATAATTTGAACTATTATAATAATCATTATGGATATACTAACCAGTGTCCAGGCAGATGCCCATAGTAAGCTGTTCAAAAGCTGACACGATCCTTCTACGGCCATTTACTCACATTCCGGCAGACAAACTCATCCCCTCTTCAACACGTACAAAGTTCCGAAGAGTTACAATGTACAGCTTCACGAAAACTTTCACATTAGACAAGAATGTTTCTCGTATCACGTGTTGTCACTCGACGATTTTTGCACTCGATTTTTCGGTGGCCGATAATCGAAAATAGTTTCGACGAATACACTTGTTCGATTCTTCAAATTCAACCTCGTTTATCCATGAAACTTTATTTTCTCCCCTACAAAGCGACGTCCTAACGACGGAGGTGTATGCACTCGCCACGGGCTGATTTGTGTCTGATCTATTCGGCGCAGCTTCTTCAATAGGCACTTGAGAATGAAACCAAGTAAGATCAATGTCCACATCGACGTCGTTTGAACCTTAGAGAGATTTACTCGACGAGTCCACAGCAAATAATTGCAGTTAATGTAATTTCAAATGTCACATCGTATGCACTTGATTTTTATGCTTGAATAACAACTAATGTGGATTGAGCATTCTAAAAATAATAAGTTATTAGCTTTTCAAGATGTACGTATATAAAAGAGAGTTTTTGAATATCTATTTTCTGACCGCAAGTTCTTATTTTCCATACGTGCCACGTATCCATTTTAATATTGTCGCTGTATTAATTGTGCAATATAATATTTTATTTTTGCTTTAGCGAAAGCAAATTGGAATAGGTAATTTTTATAACTGTTGTTCAGTGCGAAATTAGCAGAAATGTTTTATAATTTTTTTATTAAAAAAGAAAAAAAATGTCATTTTTGACATTTATTCGTCAAATCTATTTTAATGAAACTAAGCTTGTGATCCGGAAAAAAATAAATGTGTGTAAATGTCAAATAAAATATATTTAATAATTAAGAAAGAAGAAATGTAGTATGAGTGATATGTAAATGATCTTGTAGCAAAGAAAAATTGATTATAAAAAGAAGCTGAACCAAATTAAGGAAAGTGTTCATTTGTTCGAAGAAACAGTAAAGAAAAATTAACATTAGCACTTAAAACGTAAATGAAACTACTTATTCCAGTGAAATACAATTCGTGTTAAATAAATTAGATAATTTTAAAAGAAAAATGAAAGAGTGACATGAAGGCTAGAATACATATTAAAATTAATCATTTGTAGAATGCAGAAGTAACTAATATAATCAAGTAATGTGTTTTGAAAAAGATAAAGAGCATCAGCGACAAGATCTATGTGTTTCTTAAGAATTTACAATTTAAGCTGACTTAAGACAAATGTATAACGTCGCGACTCAATTGGAGAACATTTGAGCACCAACGGGATCCAGTCAACCCCCTCAAAATAACAACGCGGAAGATCTAAACGCGTCGCATTTCGATAAACATTCAAGGAACTTTCGATTGATCTCCCGTAAGTGCGACTCACGATGGATGAGTGATCGATGAGTAAATCCGCACGCTCTTCCCACGTTCCTGTCGAGTGGAGGTAAGCTCGAGCCACCATCCGAGCACCGATCTACGCGAAGAAACACCTGGAGGAACACTTAGAAGTAGAATGGAGCACCCCCGAAATATCTCGCGTTCACCCGGAAGTGCCGGCGCAAAGTGTGTCGTCGCGTGCGGCAACGTAAACGGTTGTGAGTCACGACGTTACCACGGCGCGAGCTTTTACGACGAGCTTCCTCGGCACGATAATGCCATAATGATTTGCCAGGAGGAACGAATGGAGGTCGTCGTAAGAACCACACATCGTCATGGATACCGCGCAAGCGCCCCGTTTCTTTTATACGTTTTGTCCATGTACTTTACATATACAGCCGCAATAATAGACAGTTGTACTCGATGTATGTGTGTGGGTACGTACGTGTAATCATATGCGTGTTACATGTGAGGGGTTGTAACGTGGGGGTTTCAATGTCAAGTTCTTGCCGACGCGACTGTTCTCGAACAGAGGGGTTCGATGAGCGGATAGCGAGGGTAACAATGTGAAATGCGAATATACATATATATTCAAGTAATTATATCATTTGCTTCTGCGTCTCGTCGAATATAATAATACAATATATATACCGTAGATACGAGATAATGTAAGAACATGATGCAATATTGCAAATGGAGATAAAAATGGATTCAAGCGGATGAAAATGGAAGTAAAGGAAGGAGCAACATTTATTTTCCTCATATTTAATATTTTTTTATATTTACAATATGTCTAAAAGTGGTTATTTAAATTAATTATAAGGTGTCTATAAAACGCCTCAAGATCAAAGACGTCAAAGACGTCATAAATCGGGTCATAAGACGTCTTTGACGTCTTAAAGACATTATAATGATGTCTTTCTAAAGTTTTATAAGACGTCTTATAAAAGTATAAGACGTCATGATGTTCTCTGGATATTTATATAAGAAGTTTTTTAATCGGGTAATGATATCATTTGCCTCTGTATCTCATCGAAATATAATGCAACATGATAAAATAAATATGAGATAATATAAGAGCACGCTGCAGTATTGCAAATACGGATCGAGCAGATGAAAACAGAAGTAAAGAAAACAGCAGTGTTATTATTAAGTTTCTACTTTTACGTCTCGTATGAATTCACATCCATTTTCCTGGTATTTAATATTTACCATCAAATAACTTAATTAGATCGAATTACTATCAAACATTTAGGGCCGCCCTAAGTAGAATTATAAAAATTCGCTTAGTTAAATATATGAATTAATCGCGTCTTCCAACACAAAAGTTTTTGTCCCCAACGGAATAAAAGGTAAAAATGGTGTTGAAAACGGCTCCAAAATGATTATTAAAAGTCACTTCAAACGTCACTTCGATTATTTTCGTCATGACTCCTTGTTCCGCTTGGGTATAAGAGTGTGAAAAATAATCATTTTTCTTCTTAGTAAAATTGTAAATGCACATTCATATTTTCGTGGGATCTCTTAGAGGTTGCAACAGCTGCGCGCAGAAATACCTACTACTTTAACACGGGAGTAGAAATGAGGACGTCTCAGGCATTTAACGCACGAGGTTAATATGAAATTTATTACTCCCGGTATTTACAATCGATCGAGAAGCACACGTGAGAACCATAACAAGAAAGGTATATATTTACGATAAACCGGGTTTAGCAATGTGTAAATTCTGTATGCCTTCATTTGTGCATTATTTAAACCTAAATGCAAATTACACTGTCATACTTGAATATTCTAGCTTATTAAATTGTAACTTTATTAAAATTTGTCTCCTCATAACAATTTTTTGGCACTTTCGAAAGCTATAGCTCTTTGTTAGCTTTTCTAAACTTCGTCGTTTATTATTATAATATACACATATATTTTCTGATATTATATGAATCTTCAATTAGCTTAACTTTTCATACGTAGTATAATACGTATAATTCCAATTTGAACTATATATAATCAAAAAGATGGTTGTATAAACTTATTTTTAATCTGAATTTTAAAGCTTATCGTCGTTCTTGATCTGAACTCTTTAGTTCAATAGATAAGGAAAGAAATGAGAATCTAAATAATACATGCTGCTACAATGTAAGTGATTATGGAGGATTATATGGATTATATTATATTAATTGTAGAAAATAAAACTGAACTCTATCTACTTTTTAACATTAAAACACAAAAAATATAGCAAAATTTGTGATAATTTTACTTTACTGTAATTCGATTTTTTCCATGAATATGTTTGCCATCAATATGTTTGCAAAAGTGCATTCTTTTTTTCTTTTTTTAAAAAGAACCGATTATACAACAAACATGACATTGTTATAAAGATTCAATGTTTAATTATTGAAATATTTTATCTTTTAATTTCAATAATTTTGATTCTTATTTTTATTATATATATTGTTTAATGACGTGCGGGAAGTTATATATATATATTTTTTTATTTCTTTGAATTTTCTTGATTTTTTTAAATAAGACTTGAATATCTCAACACGTCCATTCATATAAGCGAGAATATAAAAAGCGAGAAAAAGTTATGAATATTTCCTGAGACACTTATATTTAAGCAGTAGACATGTCCAGGTAATAAATCCCAATCGATACGTAAAATAGCATATGCTACAATGTGCACTATATGCTTTTCGTAGACGTCTCAATCATTTATTAACGAATGAATGTCCATGTAATATACGCGCCCCTTTGTAATAAGGTAATAGCTTTTCTTACTGTATTCATGTCCTTACTTTATTTTACTTTTATTCAATTAATTTGTCAATGGTTATTAATAATATTCACCTTTACTTTCTTAAACATTCATATTTATGGATTGTTTTATGATATTTGTTATATGATATTTATATCTTTTGCACGTCAGAATATTTTCATATTGTGTAACAAAATATGTTTTACATCTTTATAGAAATAACTTTAATAAAAGCTTTTTACTTCAAAACCCATTGTGTCCTTATGCCGAATGATTATATAACGGCGAAAGTAATAAAATTTATTAAAACTTACGGTTGTTGTACTTTGTACATGTATGTGCACATAAATATATTTTCAAACCGCAACGTCCATAAGCCTGCTTATCAGCCTGACAAGCCGATTTATTATATAAAACTGTTTTCCTCCAGTAACGGCAGTAATAATTGCATCTTTTTTGAATTGTGAGTCACTCCGACAGTCGTTTCCTAATATACTTTCTCAGCTGCACTCCAACATAATCAAAACATAAATATTAATTATTCGAGAGGTATATAAGGATCGTTTTCAAGGTATCACTTTAGTACGAAGTTCGCAAGGCAATGTAAGACCTATCGACTCACCAATGAATATTTAATAGATGCCTGTTATCAGTCCTGTTTCAAGAAATTATATGCTTGTATAAAGCCATCTAACCCATTTTACCATACTCGGCTGAAAGTATAAGAAGAACGTATGTCGATTTAATTGGAATTTAACGAGAAACTGATGGCTCGTGTGTAACATACGCGGCTATTTAGAGTAACGTATTTTCTAAAAAAATACAGGCCTTATATTTACTTCGCATCTTAATGACGTGACTTAATATTTGAAATTTCCTACTTATTTACTTTCATTTCTTTACGTAACAAAATCATCCGCAAATTTATTGATAGTAAAAACATAGGCATGAAGTCAAATAGCTTCGTATATTAGATCATATATGAAGTTCTTTCTTTTGTAGTTTTATACAAAGTACTTCTGAGAGATTAGACACTTGCGTTATTACGGTTTTTAGATCAAAATTTTCGTATTTTTTTCAATTGTAATTTGTTTAAAATACAGAGCTATTTGATCACGCTTATCTTTCTACTAGAAATAAATTACGAGTGATTCTGTTGCATAAAGAAAAGTTATCATTTCCTCATTTTCTTATAAATAGTTTCTTTTTAAAGACGTTTAATCTCATACCGTACAATATTTTTGAAAATGTTACTAAGAATTATTTTACCAAATAAAACAGGTTTATTAGATATTAAATATTTCATAAAATATTAGCGGATGCATTTGCGTCCACGCACGCAATCTTATAATATAAATTATTTCATAGGGCAAATTAACGTACAGCCGGTTATATCTCACGGATTCTTGCATAATTCCATCTTGTCAAAGTAGAGGACATGGCCATTCTTTTGGAACATGCATATCTATATCTTATAATATGTGACGGCCGTTTTCTTGCCATACATTCGTTCAGACAAACTAAAAATGATTGACAAATATTTCTCGATGTGTCTCATGTGTAATTTCTCGCATCATTTCAACTTTTTAAATAAAAATCTGTCTCTAAATGTACTTAATATCGGTAAGCTTTCAAAATACTTTATCAAAGGCTTTTTTCATTTTCCAATAAAAAAATTTTTATACAAAAACATAAATAATAATATATAGATATAATTATGTATAAAATATGTCGATATATATATATAATTTTTTTTTAAACAGTCTAGCCAAATATCTTGAAAATTAAGTCCAGCAGGCAAAAATATTTTGGACAAAAGTTGTATGGTCCGAAAAAAGACCAGTAAAATCAATTTTCGAAACAATCGATTTCGACGGATCATCGCCATTTTTGGAAATAAAATTATAATATAAATATAAAATTATAATTATAAATATGATTCTTTTTATATGTATAATACAAATCTTTTTCATACAAAAGTATTAAGCTAGAGTTATCAAAACAGCTGTCAAAATAGTTTACGAATTATATTTTGTACTGTATTCTCTGGCATATATTTTAACATAAAATATAAAGAATCTTGTAAACTACACGACTTTTTTGAATACTTTAATATTTTTACGGACAGAATAATGAAACGAGTCGATTGGTATAAAGAAAACACATAATAAACTTGCCTTTCAAGGAAACATGCGTAATTGCATATTGCAAATTGCAAATTGCATAAACGACGCTGCCATGCGCACGACGAGCTATTTTGCAATCAATTGAAATTTTCTCGATACGGCCGCTGCTCCTGAGACGAAGCATTGCAGGCCTTAACAATTGTTACACGCGTTCGGAGGTTCAGGATTGTCAAAACACGAGCGGCAAGAAAAGGGAATAGTGGGGCAAGAAGTCGCACACGTCACCGTCACCATCCGATGTCAACAATAGAGCTGAAACAAATAGGGACTTGTTGTCGATAGGTTATGAGGAATAACGCTCTTGAGCGTGATTTGAAAACTTGTTGTATTTATTAGAGAAGCAATACGATGAGCGAAGTCAGTGATCCAAGTGACACCGAGATGTCCGATAAACAGGACGACAAGGATCCGGACTTCAACGTGGAGGATTATTGTCGTGAAATCGACAGCGAAGATTCCTTCGCCGAATCGCTGGACAACAATATTAACGTACGTCGAAATGCTTCAATATATTTACTTTAGTCCTGCCGTTTTAAATTTGGATAAAAACATACTTGTTCGATTCCATTTTGTTTGAGAATGAAGGACTCGAAAGGCAAAGATCGTTGCGCGATACCGAAAGAAATAGCTGAGTGTTGAAAGCGACGTGTTTTTGAAGGTTAGAAAATCTGTCGTACCGATCGAGTAAAACGAGCGTGCGTCACGATCGAATTAGCGCGAAATAAAATATGAAATAATATGACGTTTTTATAGCAGAATATATTTCATGAAAACTGACGGTGGGGAAGAGTTAAACATTTGCCCTTTGTATATTAATAATCTATCTATTTCGTAAAACTTTTTGTGTAATTTTTTTCTCCCACACTTGAAATAAAATATGACTCATGTTTGCATAATAATAAGTATATACTTTTCCCCCTTCTTTCCTTTTTCTTTCTTTCCCGTATATAAAGTTTAATTTTAAAGAGTTAAATAAATGTAATCGAATAGATGCATTATTTCATGCAAAATTATTTTTCCAAGACCTACGTATCTGATAAAAACTAATAAATATATCTCTTACTTTTTTTTACAAAGGATTACATTTTGTTGATTTACTCCTCACATTCTATATTGCAAACTTGTTTACAATTCTATGAGTTTGTGATTTATGAGATATTATCAATTGTATGTAGATTATATTATATATATATAGGATCTTTTTGTCTTATTGTAGGTAAAGGAAAATAATCCACAAGATGGCAAAGATGCAGGCCCAGTAATTTCCGGACACAGATTTGACAAGAAACTAATATGTATTAAATATCCAGGAAATGTAGTCAACGTCGATAAAGCTATTGCAACGTTGGGTGGCATTAGTGCCATTTCTATGGTATGATAAAATAATGAATACTATATCCAATTAGTTTAATTACATTATCTAACTCTATATCTGATTGTTTAACAGACTGTAGACGTTCCTAACAGAAGATTAGAACTGCGGTTCAGACCTGACGACGGTTACAGCAAGCCTACTTGCGGGGATAGACATAGTACAAACGGTTTCTTGCTTAGAGTTAGAGTAAAAAAGAATAAGGTAACACAAGTCAAAAGTGCTACGGTGGAGCTTGTAAAACCAACATCTATGGACATTACAAACTCGGAAGCTACTACTTCTCGCATTAGTAAAGATCCTCATACATCCCATTCAGACAATGAACAGATTAATGCAACATTTAATGTCACAAGAGAAAGAGACAATTATGATAGCGATATTAGTGTCGATAATTTGACCATCCAGGAAGAAGACCGTGATCTTGACTCTACGCATTGTAGCGAAGAAGCAGCTGAGAAAAAATATACCGTAGATAACGATGATAAAAACTTGTGTGATCCATACGTAGACAAGAATCTATCGAGAAATAAAAATAACACATTTGCTTTCGACAACAATAAGTATGAAAATTTATCTCAAGAGACAGACTATGAAGTACCAAACTTGAAAATATTGGGAAGAATAGAGACTGAATTCAAATTTACCAGTATGTTGTATACAAATTATGTACGACGTTATCTCTATATTAATTTTTCTTATATTAATGTCTTTCCTTTTTTAGATTTATGTGATTTTCAATACTTACCAATGACACAGAACAAGTCGAATCCAAAGAAATTGGAATGCATATACAGCTCGATTTATCCAACGGGCATTCCGCTTTACTCTTGGTTAAAAAACGATGTACCTTACTTCCTACCACCAGCTGTCTTCAGCAGAATGGACACTATACAACAATATATACCGAAAACCGAAATAGATTCAAATCCGGAGAATGTAATTGGTAAAAACAAAAAATCTCAATCAGGCTTTCCCAATTACATATACTTTTCCACGTCTGAAGTACCCGCCGCGGCGCCGAAAGGCATTGAGTCTGCTATGAGGGTGAAGTTTCTTCAAAACACGCACTTGGAGCAAGTACGCCAGCTCTTCGAGGAGCGTCCAATTTGGTCAAGAAACGCCATTATGTACAAGACACAATTTACATCCGAACAGTTGAAAATATTATTGCCATCTGTAGCATATTATTTTATGACTGGACCGTGGAGAATTATGTGGGTGAAATTGGGCTACGATCCAAGAAAGGATATTAATGCAAGAAAATATCAGACACTGGATTATAGATTAAAAGCTATGCGTAAGTTACATTATTTTTGACTGTCAAAGATATCTGAAGTATCTTTATTTAACATAAAAAATATTCTATAAAATTAATTTTTGTGATCCGTAGATGGATTAGGTTCAACTGTCAGATGTAAAAGAAATTATTCAAATTATACGTTACCCTATAAATCAGCGCCAGTTTCCAAACAGAAACCTGCAGTACTTACTGCCACGTTGAGTCAGAAGCAAAATTTGAAGAAAGAGCGGCATTTATATGAGAATGTGTACATATACCAGGAAGGTATGGTACCTCCTTCCCGACAAATGTTTTATCAGGTTTGTCAATAGTTTTCTCTACAAAAATAGTATGTTATGAGGGTATTAATTGCAAAATAACATTATAATAAGGCAACTAAAGGCACAAGAGATTCGAATAAATTATATGATTGAATAGTTGAAAGCAAAAATATTCTATTTACCAGTCAGGTTTAACAGATAAAACTGTCCGAATATAACTTTTAAATATAACGTTCATACTCAAACGATCTGGAGCAATTCTAGATAATCTAAAATATAGTCCTGAAATTGTTTATACTTTATAATGTTCGTATTTACGTTATGAGTAACGCTCAAGTTTTGGTCCGGTCTCGCTCCAGCAACGATTCGAAAGAATAAACAATGAAAGAATATTTGATCAGACCGTGAGCGGAGTATGAGTGGACCGATAGTGTGTATCGGACCTTACATTGATTCCGAGCACTATTATAAATTGTTACTTCCACTCATTCTGTTATTAGTATTGCGACGTCATGGTAGGAGAAATACAGGAAATGCTAGCAAAACTTCCTGATTCTTTACCTGATGCAAAATGTCACGAGAAGAGAGGATGGCTACCAACTGGTTTTGATGTACAGTGCAGAGAAATTTTAAATAAACAAGTGCGGGCTGTTTTGAGAAAGAGGATGAACATTCCTGAGGACCGTACGTGTCGATTTTAGTTTGCTAAAAATAAAATTATTTATTTATTTGAGGATAAACTTATATTTTTATTACAGATCCAACGTCGCTTCCACGGAAACGAAAACGTGGAATGAAATTAAAATATAATAAACTGATTAATAAAAGAACACAACAATAAAGAATACAACAAATTCTACAGAAATTCAGGCAAATGTTACTTCTACTTCAAAATTAAAGGAACAAGATTAATATTGAAGATTGCAGAGCTCGAATCCAAGTGATGAAAATTATAATTATGTAAAATAAGAAATTTTGATTACATATTTGCAATCAAGTTTCTGTTTGCTTCTGTGAAAATATTAAAATGTAACATTCTAATACTTAACATTTGTTCACGAAACATTGGATATAAGAATATGTTACAGATATATTTATATAACGTATATATTAAAATAAATATAAAATACAATTATCCTCAACTAATAGTCATAGAATTTCTTCGTATTACACGTAGACCTATATACATTGTCTACTCGACTGTACAGCTGCGAATCATAATGAATGAATATCTACATATTCAATCTGAGAATTAAGGTGTGAAGGCATACATGGCGTCTGTGAACTTCATCTTCATCTTTTCTCATGCCAAAAAGTAATTTACCTAATAACACTACGTTAGGTACATCATCGCTTCAAACTTCGAAAAAAAAAAAAATGGCAAAAGCACAGATGAATTTGTCGCTTAATCTAAAGATGCGCTAATACTTCGACAGCTACCGGTGGCGTTTGATCGCCACTAAGGATAACCGGTTCGGATTCAGTTTGGACAATCCTAACGAGATTTGCGTCCTTCTTCGAAGATACTAAAGTAATATTAGGCGCGACATTGGATTCGGCACAATAACTTGGCGGTCGACTCTCCCTTGCTGTACCAGGAGTCACAATACTTCCCGCATTTGACCTGTAAGTCGGTGGCGGCGACGACGTAGGCTGCAATCGGTCCAATAACAACAACCGAAGTCTATACTCTTGCATACTAGCCTGTAATAAAGTATTCATGTACGAAATATTCCAAAATCACTGAATGGTTTTTTAATAACAGATCCTTCGAATAATTAAAAATTGTTTTTTTATCTTAGCAAAAGGATCGAAATTATTTATTTCAATCTTCAAATGATTTGTAATATACTTTAATTAAGTAAATTAAATTATATTAATGCTAGAATAATTTCAAGGGAGTTAAAATGATGTATTTGACATTTTTAAATAATTTAAGTAAGAATTACTCATTTTTAAAACATCTTCTATTTCCTTGACTTTTATTGAAATTTTTATTGAAATTACATAGATAATTAATTTTATTAATTTGTTTTCTCTTTTTCTCTTCTCTAAGATTTCTTTAGTAGAAATAAATATAAATTACTCTTCGGTAGTTCTAGTGTTAATTTATAATATATATTTTTATTAAGTAATTAAGCAAATTAAAATTCTTTTAAAATCTACCTGAGATTAACTGAAGAATATAGTTTTGTTAAGTATTTATCTTCTGAAATGGAGTTCACGAAAAGCCTCTCTTTCTCTCTACCTCAATAACTTGTAACTCGTAAATTACAATTACTCGACATTCTGGCTGAGAAAGACTTGACTCCAAATTAGATGATAAATCTAATCTTAAATCGCTTATGAAAGCGATTGTGTTATTTAGTGCAATATAACCGAATAAATTTTTAATAAAACGTTGCTTTATAAATATATACCTGATAGCTCGGTGGCGGCGTTCTAAATTGGAATTCCGGATAGATCATAGCGGCGTATGGATGTATCGGTCTCGCCGGGGGTATTCTACCGGAAATGCTTGTGAAGCCGAATAAGCTGCCGCAATAATCTTGATTAGTTAATCGCCATGCCACTGCACTCACCAATACCAAAAGCACTCCTATACCTGTAACAAAAAATGCATACTATAATTATAATACAAACAAAACGACCTACAATCTTCATTTGTCACTACTCTATAATGGTCTAAATAACTGAGACACAAGTTGCTCTTTACGTAAAAATAAGAAAGAAAATAGATTCCAATAGGTATTATTCCTTTAGTCAAAAGGCAGCGGCGTCTGTTCGTTTGTCTATTCCTCTATTTGTTCCTCGAGCCATTATTCCATCGATCTCACGGTTTTCGCGTGTGTAAGTGTATAACATCAATCTCTGTAAGTGGCGTTCCCTCAGTGTGAGAAGCATTCTAAGCGGGTCGCAGCTTACATGCCCACGTTTAGAAAGTAACTGTTGCGAGCTCGAGTTTCCCTATTCTCTCCTCTCTCTTCCTCGATCTTGCTGCGCGCCACGTGCAGTTGATCGCTATGACAATCTACATGTTACGTCTTATTCTTCAGTCTCCGATTACAGGTTTCAAGAATTTCTTATAATTCCGTAATTTAAAAAATACATTTCTCTGGGGAATATACTGGTAAATGTAGTATTTATATCGCTCTTTCATAATTCTTTTTCTACAAACAAATTGTTTGAATTACAGAAACAATAAATCGCCAAATCAGCCGAATATAACGACAAATATACATGCTTTTTTTCATCACATAATTCACATAAAATATCGTAGTCTCTTTTTCAAAAACTCAGTTATTATCGACGCTTAATTGCTAGACTTTTTTTTATTAACATCGAGAAACAAATAAGGAAAAATGCGTTTATTTACCAGACATAAATATTCCCAAAAGGTGATCACGACCAGAGGCTTTAAGAGCGCCAAGGAGTGTGCCTGCACCGGCGCAGACTAGACCTACGAAGCCGACACCCAATATGGACCAGCGTACTGGCGGGGAACCCAAACCGCAACACTGTTTTGGTACTGTGTCCCTGCAATGCAAAAAAATTGAACGATACATGTTCGTTGAATAAACGTGACATATACTCTCGTGACAATTATATGATCGCGATTGCTATATTGTTACAGCGTAGCATCAACCGTGAAGCTATATAGTTATATGGCTCTTAAATGATACATTGGTCATGATGTCATGAAATTCAAACGAGGAATTCGAACAAATCATGTGATCAAACTATTCGAATGACATGAAACTTTTGTTTAACTAGATGCCAATAATAATTGTCTTCTAGATTTTTATCTCTTAAACATCCAAACGTTTTCTGAACTATTATTTCATTCAGCTACGCACCATTCTAATAATTTTGTAATCGCATACCAATAAAAATTAAAATTTAAAGTAAAGTTAACTATAAATATTGGACGATAACAGTTAAACTGTAGATTATTGAATATCGTATAAAATTTACAAAAAAAACGCATGAAATGTTTATGACAAAATTTTCCGAATTTTTCACTTGTTTATAATATTTTGCAAAGTAGATGAAAATGTAAGCAAAATATAGACAAACAGTGGATTCCAGAATATAAAGAAACGCATTTAAGGATGTTCATGACAAAATTTAGTTTTTTTCCCCCCAAAAAATAAAAAAACAAACAAACAATTATAAACAAATTATAGATAATCAAATCCCGTATAAATTTCATAAAAATTCGCATTTCAGAGGTGTTTTCCCTACCCGAGACAAATATCGAGGCTCACCTGCCGAAAGCAGACACGCTAGCGGGTACAGGGAATGGTAAACCGAGGCTGAGGCCTCTGAGGCTCAAATGCGGAGGCGGGGGGTGAAGGAAACCTCTGGCGGGTGGTACCAGCGGCATTCCCAGTGCGGTTGATGCCGTCTGGCAACCTGGCGTGGCGGCGGGATACGTCGGTATAGAGCAAGATCTCAGAGCGCGACGATGCTGTCTGCGTATTCGTCGCTCTCGTCTACGCGCGTCTCGAATACCGCTGGGAATCTCCTCGGTCTGGCTCGCCGGAGCCCCACTTTGAAGCCCCAGCTCTGTCTGCGCCTCCGTCGAGGTAAAAGACCGACCACCGTCTCGTGCTTCCTAAAATGTAAACGAGCTGTGAATTTGAGCGGCTCAGCTCGATCTAGCCGCAACGTGACTTTTTTACAAATTGTCAACTTCTTATCGTCAGACTTTAAAATACGAATAAAATCGCGTGGAATATAAAATATATTCCATGTAAAATTATAAAAGTATATACGTGACAAATTATATTAAGATTTTATCATTCTCTTAAGTATATCTAATGATGAGACATTTACGTAGAAAATTTTAATATTCCTGTTTCCAATCTAAATTTTTAAATGTGAAAAATGCATTTTTATTAAAAAACAATACGTATTAACGATCCCGATATTATTCTAAAATGGAACATTTTTTAATCCTACTATGGTTTTTTTTTTACAAACTATATATAAGTCACTGTAGAAAACAAAATACAATAAAAACAATAAATATTTTATTTTTATCAAAAAAAGTAAAATAATATAATTTAATGTTGAAATAAATTATAATATTATACGTTAAGTACATTTAATATTCAACTAAATAAGAATTTTATTGAAAATTATTAAAATAGAAAAAGAACGAGAAACCTTTTATTTTATTAAATTATTATTTTACGTAATTTTTAATCATCGCTCTACAAAAAATTTATTGTGAAACTCTGACAGAGGCAATATTTTTCGCAATAAATACTCCGCCGTGCTTTAGAAAGATATTTATCAATAATATTATTATTAAATTGATTATCAATTTAATTGTGTAAATTTTATTATCTCAGCTTCAGCTCGGGATTGCGTTTCAAGACCGACATATAATCGGCACGTAGTTTGATGAACAGAAAATCATATACAAATTTACGCAAAAATATTATTCAGTAGATTCCCGACTGATTATCGCATACTTTTTAGCTGGTTGAACAAAAAACAGTATTTTTTATAACTATAATTATTCGTAACTTATATGATAATATGATAGATTTTAAAACCAAATATCTAGTCAAACGTAGTAAAAAAAAAACATTGTAAAAATCGGTTTGGTACTTCTTAAGGAAAAGATATATAAGAATAAAAAATCGTAATTTTGAAGGAATTTTTTATTTCAAGGATTTTGATGCGCCACAACCTCGCATGTCCAGGTGTGAAACTGATCATTTTATCGGTTTCACACATCAGTTGTTGAGAGTTCAAAAGAATAAAATATAAAAAGTTTATCGTTTTTTATTTTAATAATCTTCAATAAAATTCTTATTTAGTTAAATGTATTTAACGTATAATATTATAATTTATTTAAATATTAAATTGTATTATTTTAATTTTACTTATATTATTCTAACTTTAGCTGCGTTCCGATATTCACTGTCAGTACTGAAAATCTATAGTGTACGTTACGTAAACTATAGATTTTCAATACTTGCAGTGAATATCGGAACGCAGCCTTTATTTCAAATAGTTCTTGATACGTCAGACAAATAGTTCTGGTTAAAGCAAATTACTTTAGGAGAAACATCTTATGTGAGACACAGCACCTTTATCTTACAAGAGTTTACTTAACAGTCTTTATCAGATTTCAAGAGATTTGCAGTTCTGCACGAGTTCTAAAGAAAATTCTGCTTTTTAAAAGCAAAAGATATTGGTTAAATAAAGATGAGTTTTGTGAACTTATTTAAACAAAAGCAAGTTATGCACTTATTTATACATCTTATAAAGCGTTCTGACGATAAATTCTTCTTAAAATAATTGTATTCTTTTTAAAATAATTTTTATCGCTCGTGAAAGGACTCGTACCTCTGACTACAGTGGTGAGATGCTTAATTTCCAAGAGTTATTTTAAAATACACTGAAATCGATCAGCGTTTTACTTTTATATCCGCAGATACGTATTTTCCTCGCGCGATAAAAATTATTCAAAAAATAAAAAGGATTGTTTATCGTTAAAACTCCTTAAAGTCGTGATAAGCTTAAAACTGTATAAAAAATATTTTAGAATACACCAAAACCTTAAAAATTGATCAGTCTTACTCATGCATAAATAAAAGCGCCGAAAAGTTGTTTAAAAATAAAAAAAAAAACAATTACCGTCAAAACTCTTCATAAAATGTTATAATAAACTCGGAATCACACAAGAACCATTTCATAGTAAGTAAAATTGTAAAATTGTAGAAGATATATAATTGTCTTATATCGGTATATTTAAGAGCGCTTGTGTGTGTACTCATCTCTGTTCAAATTTAACCAATATTTTTTACTATAAAACGGAAGTCTTTCTAGATAAACTATGTAAAACTACAAATTTCAGGAAATTTAACGAAAAATGTCTAACTTCCGTGAGACAAAGTCAAACGCTGTTTCAGTTTATCTTGAAGCGATGTCCTGCTTTAATAGCCAGAACCATTTGTTTAATCTATCAAGAACTATAGAACTATTTTTGAAATAAAACAAGAATCCTCAATTAAGTTAGTTTAATTCAGTAATTTAATTAAGTTAGTTAAGTTAATCAGTTAGTTATAATTTTAATTAAGTTAGTTTAATAAAAAAATGATTCCAAGTTTCTGCGTCAGCTCCTTACACGACATATTTCCTGCAACAATTAACTTTTCTCTTTCTTTGTCTACTTCAAATCAAGGCTACGAATAAAGGAGAGATTTGACATCAATATATCGGAAATATATCTCTCGATACGGAAGGTTGAACAAGAGTATTTTGAAAAAACGAGATAAAATGCTGTTCTTGCTTATGTTTCGTTGCATCTTTGGTGCTCGTTTCAAGTTGGTTTTTATCGATACTTTCATCGTTACGGACCTTTCATCGTTTTTATTGACATTTCATCATATTTATTCACATTTTATAACTATATAGTGTGCAGTTCATACCTATAGAGTGTACAGTTTCAGTGTGCTTTTATTTTTTACATAAACTTTCAAAATAAAATCGGAAAAAACCGGGAGCTATATTAATTTTATCTTAATTAATAATCTAAAAATAAATTTTTTTGTAATAAGCGTTGAGAAAATATTAAATAACATTTTTTTACACATACACTAATATTTAATTTTTGATAGGATTCTATTAGAATTTGTTAACATAATTTTTCTGTTGTTTGAGTTTTCGCAAGTTTTTATTAGAATTATTTTATGAATAATATTATCATACATTTAAGCGTTAAAATTTTAAATTCTAAATTTTTGAAAACTTTCAATTTATTGCAATAAGAAAAAAAACAAAGCTTAAACTTTCTTTAAACGATTCTTTGTACATAAAAACACACGATATACAAAATTATAAATACGAACAATATTCTATTCTAAAATCTGTGATGCGAATTATAAATGTGAATTTTAAAGTTACTTATAGATTAATATAAAGAATCTAATTTAATTATAACGAAATTGTTACGTATAACTGAATCAGAAAACTCGTTTGACATTTGCGTGGTCTACTCCGCTCCGCGTAAAGACTGTACGTACAATTTCTAGACATTTAAACGTGTCCATAAATCATGTTATACAGCTCGAAACGCGCAGAAAGCCACTTTCTTTTAAATAAAGACAATCCGGACATTTTCAAGGGTACCCTTAATTCCTCTCAAAGATTTCGGTCATTCGACTGGCTGCGCGCGTGACACGTCGACAGAGGAAACGAAACGAAACGGTACCTGTGTTTGGTCCGCGCTGCTCCTGGCATTATCCACAGCGGCACCGTCGACGGCGACGACGCTCACGGGTCTCGGGTCGGACGGGGCCTCGGCCATCGTACGATCCTGAGCATCGGTCCCCGCAGTCGTCGCGACTTCTCCGAAGACACTTTTCTCCGTCTCGCAATATATGATATCTCGCCTGGATCGTCCTCGTCTTATTCCTCCTTAGGCACCTCTGATTTTTTTATTTGTGATTTCCTCTTCTCTCACTCATCCGTCTTGCATTAATCTGCGTCTCTTCACGATTCGATGTGAAACGACGGTTCACTCGCTTGATTTTTTACCTCCTGTTTCCTCTGTTCAAGTCACCGACACACAACTGGCTTGATGACGTTAATACTCGAAGGTGAAACGTCGAGGGTCCTTCCTATTTCTTTATCTCCCTCTCCTCTTCTTTATCAGCGATAGACGCTAGGTGCACAATTGGAGAACGTCAGGTATGGCAATTCCGAGAAACGGATATGAACACAATGGTAACGCACTCGGCGCCGTTATCGTCTATTGAACTGGCCGGCCATACGGCAAACCGGTCCGTCACGAAACTAGATCCTTTCTCCGCGGCGCCGAATATCACCGCGCGTGTTAACGCACTCTTAACACAGCCTCCGGTTCCACAGTATGCCGCTAACTCGCATGGGAGCGGCATCGCGCGAGGATAACGTGTTAGTTCTTGCCATTACGGCGTAAATCTCTTGTAACGCGGCCAAGCGCACGTCCCTTCTCAGCCGACTACCGTCTGATCCGCGGCGATGTTGATCCCGCACGGTCTAAAAACCAAAGCTCTCTGCTTTTTCATTACTCTACGCGACACGGCCATCCTTCAGAATCCTGGTCTTGCGTGTCTCGGCTGTGAGAAAAAAAAAATGCTTTTAGACACAGACGTTTGGTTTGCCATAAATTGATTCGCTTGAGAATCCACATGAGAGAGAGTGATTTCAAAGTGCTCGTTTATAAAAGGGTTCAGAGTCACTTAAACTCATCACAAAATTTACTAACTTTTAATTAAAAAAAAAAATCATTTTTTAACGCAAGTAAATAGAAAAACGTGCCATATACGATCGGGCTGGATCTTTGGGCCTAATAATATTTTTGCACGTATTTGTACATGCCTGCCGAGAAATTTCGACGTTGTAATATAATATAAAATAATTTTAAAATAAAGATATTTTGTTTTTATATGATTTTCGAAAATAAAACTTACCCGGACCTCCGATTGTTACAAAAATTTTAATATGGCTCTCTTGACAAAAAAAGTTAGGGATTCCTAATTTATATACGTTTTTCAGCTCATCGAACTACGCGTTAATTAATGTCTATCTTGAAACGCAGACTGAAACTGGAATAATACAATCACATTGAGAATCAATTTAATGATAATGATGCTAATAAGCATCTTTAGAACCATTGCGCGAGATTTATTGCAAAAAATATTTTTTATCCTCAATATTTTTCGACTTCATTTCTATAGCGTAACACAATTTATTTCTAAAATTTGGATTCTTTTTTAAATGGCAAAATTTCAATTTGACAAAGATTGTCTTTTATTTTATTCTACTCCCCGTATAAATTTAATACAAATATTGCATACTGCATAATAATGATATTGTACAACACTACGCTTTCCCTTTTCAAATTCCTGTAATGATAAGTATAAACAATGGAAACATATAGAACCTATGTATATAGTTATTAACTTATTTATTGTGTCATTTACCTTGTAATCGTAAAATATGAGAACTACACATTTCGTAACTTAATAACTGCTTAACAATAAATACATCATAATTAAAAAAAGAAACGAATTATCTCTATTCTTTTCAACTTGGGACACAGTGTATAAAACTTTTGAACTGAACAATAATACAATGGCATGTACAATTACTCCGCGATGTGTCATCCAATTCAAAAGACTTGAAAGCAAAAATTATACCGTTGTGACATCAAATGGAAAGTGATTTTTTAATATAATCCAACATGAAACATTTGTAATATTAAAATCGTAAAATGTCTTTTAATTAAAAAAACTGATTTAAAGGAAGAGAAAAGCTTATATAAGGTAAAAAGTTTCAGTATTTTATTTAAAAAATACGAAAGAGATAATTATAATTAATCAAAAAAATAATTAATTACAGTTGCGAGCAAATTATTTGCAAAATATCAAAATTATCCTTACTTTAGACTATTGTACTTTTGTTCACATCCAAATGTAGGTATGTCCATCTGGAGTAAAAGAGACCGTAATATTTTCTTATAATTAGAATATTTAAATCTATTTCTTTCTAAGCAATCTGTATTTTTAATTTGTTTTTCACGTAAAATTATCCTCTCGTTACGAACAGTCTGTACATCTCGATATTTATTGGCTAAAGATTTCGTAGTTGAACGATTCCAATTTTCGTATTAAGTGCGAAGAAATCAACAAAAATACTTGCATTTTCCATTTAACTTGGTTTATCATGATCCGTTTTAATTTTTTTTTGTAAAATTTGAAAAATCGAAGTAGCCAATCGAATTATGAATTATGAATCACGATCGCTCGACAAAAGATAAATATGCCACTAGGCTCTTCCGCCAAGCTTTTTATGTCCGAAAAGAAAAAAAGAAAGTATCTTCTTCGCAAAGAAAACACGTGTCTTACATTTCGCGTTTAGTGACGCACTTTAAACAGAATCAAATCGGTTCCGGACAATTGCGACACGCGTCTCTTTGTCAGAACTACTTTCTACTCTGCTCAAAATTACTCTTTCCCCATCCACGCATAATTTCTCTCCCACAATAACCGTTAACAATGTCACTGTAAAAAACTTATTGTTTCAATAATCGATTTATCGATTTAAGTGAATTTACTGTTCCAACAAAAAAAAACAATGTTTCCAGCCTGAACAATAATCCTGACAAATAATCGGCGTGCAATTCACTGAATTGAAAAAGGTATCTATACAAAATTTACACAGAAATATTTTTAGAAGCTACCAAGATCCAGTCCGATCGAAGACGGCATCTTCACTATTTAATCGCGTTATCCTTTCCCCCGTATGGTTCGCTCTGTCTTTCGACGATCACCTGCAACCTGCATACATCTTAAAATAACGTGTTTAAATCGCGGATTAAAAAGCACGGCGCGAGAAAGCATCGTTCCCCCTTCTCCACCCACGTATACATCGGCCATCGCGTATGTACGATATACAAGGAGAAAATTTTCCAAAAAAAAAAACCTGCATCTCTCTCTTTCCGCGCCGTTGCGAGAGACACCTTCTCTCAGCACACTTCCAGCATGGCGAGAATATATGCGCGAGTTGCCATCGAGACACGTCTGTAAACCGCATACGTTCGAATCAACAACTTCAGAGTGTCCTGCGATCTCGCGAGCGAGCCAAACCGATCCGCCGCGGAAAGAAGGTGCTCCCGCGTAACGTACGTTCGCGACAACAAACGGTAAATCAGGCCTACGAGAGAAAGAGAGAGAGAGAGAGAGAGAGAGAGAGAGAGAGAGAGAGAGAGAGA